ATCTTCTTATCTAAATTATACAAAAGACATTATTCTCTAATAATGACATTCATGACATTTTATACTTTGAGTACTGACATTTCTTAATTAAATGAGCATCTAAGGTATCATATATAGTACAATTTGCTGGGTTTAAAAAATAAGCAAGACCACTGGCTAACTCTCCTAGCCTGCTCTCCTATCCTCAGGCCTCTTGGGGTAAGTCTATCACGCAGCCCTCCGCACCTTGACTCCCCCAGCCACATTCACCCTTCCATCTCCCCCGCTGTTCTCTACTCCTAGTGGTTTTATCTCTTGTTTCTATTAATATTACTAATATTTGGTATGTAAATAAAGGCATTCTTATTAAAAGAAGTTTAGAGAATACTACATTGTCAGGCTTCTCTGCCCTTCAGCAGGGGCCCAGACCTTAACAGACTGCTGGAGAGTGCCTGGATCTGGCCTCTGCATGGTGGTGAGGTTCCCCAAATCACACCATGCCCATCCCCTTACATTGGAACCACCTGCAGTCCATTCCACAAAACCCAGGGTTAGGCTTCTCTGCCCTTTAGTAGGGGTCCAGACCTTTTCAGACTGCCTGAGAGTGCCTAAATCCGGCCTCCCCCTGCTTAGCGAGCTTCCCAAATTGTGCTGTGACTGCTCAGGAGTAGGGGTCCAGACCTTAGGAGGAAGCTTGAGAGTGCTGACAGGCAGCTTGACTTGGGCCTCTATGGGAGCTCCTGAGTAGCTGACCTGAAGTCATCTAGTCCCTCCAATATAAAATCTGAGAATCCAAAGCCTAGAACAACCTGCTTTACATACCCAATAAGAAAACAACCAAGACACACCAATAATACAAACAGAAGCAAACTTCAACTCAACAAAGGAAGGCTTGAGTTTCATACCAGAATCACAAACAACAAAGGAAATCGCATGCCAAAATCACAACGGAAAACCAATAATATGGAAAATCAAAATGATATGTTCCTATCAAACACTACCAATCCTATATAGGAGTATAACCCAGGACACAGAATTTAAAAGAACAATCATAAACATGATCAAAGAATTCAATGAATTTAATGAACACATACAAAAAACAAATCAAAGAACTAAAAGGAAATATGGATAAACTTCTGACTGAATTCACAAAAGAGACAGAAATAGTGAAGAAAACTCAGGTCGAAATGAAAAACTCAATAAACCAATTAGAAACGACAGGAGAAAGCCTCACTGATAGAATGAATGAAATGGAAAACAGAGTATCAAGACTGGACAATAAAGTTGAAGAAGTGGACCACTCAAGCAAAGTCTATGAAAAAATAATTTTTTTCTTTTGGTCTTTTTGAGACAGGGTCTTCCTGTAGCTCCATCTGGCCTAGAACTCACTATGTGGAACTCACAGAGATCCGCCTACCTCTGCCTCCCAAGTGCTGGGATTAAAGGCGTGTGCCACCACGCCCAGCAAGACTATGAAAAAAAATTTAAAACACAAGAATGGAATATGCAGGAAATGTGGGACACCATGAAAAGGCCAAATTTACACATCATAGGCACAGAGAAAGGAAAAGGATTTCAGGGTAATGGTATTGACCAGATCTTAAACAGGATTGTTTAAGAGAATTAAACAATTAAAAAGAAAGACATTAAAGAGAATTTCCCAAAATTAAGGAAAGACATGCCCATACAAATACAAGAAGCACACAGAACACCAAATAAACAGGACCAGAAAAGAAGCGCCCCATGGCATGTCATAGTAAAAGCACAAAATGTACAGAACAAAGTGAGAATACTGAAAGCTGAAAAAAAAAAAAAACCAACAGCTCACATGTAAAGGAAAACCCATCAGAATTACAGATGACTTATCAATGCAAACTGTGGGTTTTTGTTTTTGTTTTTTGAGACAGGGTCTCCCTATAGCCCCAGCTGGCCTAGAACTCGCTAGGTAGACCAGGTTGGCCTCAAACTCACAAAGATCTGCCTGCCTCTGCCTCCCAAGTGCTTTTTTTTTTTTCAATGCAAACTATGTAAGCCAGAGGAGGCTGGTCCAAAGTATTCCCAGTTCTTTTAAAAAAATTTTATTATTATTTTTATTTTATGTGTATGAGTGTATTGCTTGCATGTGTGTTAAAAACACCTGTGTCCTGAAATGCCCATGGAGGTCAGAAGAGGGTATCAGATACCCTGGAACTGGAGTTACAGATGACTGTTAGCTGTCATGTGGGAGTTGGGAACTCTGCAGAGGTCAGAAGAAGGTGTCAGATACCCTGGAACTAGAGCTACAGATGGTTATTAACCACCATGTGGGTGCTGGGAATCAAACCTGGGTTTGCAAGAGCAGTCAGTGCTCTTAACTGCTGAGCTATCTCTCCAGTCCCAGTCATCCCAGTTCTAAATAACCATAGATGACAACCCAGAATAATTTACCCAGCAAAAATGTCTGTTATAGTTGAAGGGGAAAGAAAAATCTTCCAAGCCAGACATGGTGGCACACACCTTTAGTCCCAGCGCTTGGGAGGCAGAGGCAGGTAGATCTCTGTGAGTTTGAGGCCAGCCTGGTCTACATAGTGAGTTCCAGGACAGCTGGGGCTACAAAGACACCTTGTCTCAAAAAAAACAAAA